AGGCGGATTGCGGGAGTTGATTAGTAGTGGTAACAACACACTTAAATATGAAACGGCCCAAGTTTAACACAACACTGCCTTAGTCAGTGACATTTCAGCTGAACCAAATACCCAAAAATATACAAGCCTCCCTCACATTCACCTTTGCTCTAAAAACAACAGCACTTCAGAGACAACCACGATCGGCTTTTCTTTCCCTTTATGTTTTAATTAAAAGCCAGCATGAAAATTATGTTTATGTAAAAAATCGTACTGGCAAGTACCCCTCAGTATCTCTGCAAGATTAACATAAAATTTTAGGAGGTGTAGCTTTCTTCTTTCCTACCAAAACTTGGAAAATGCCTGAAAATCAGTAAATTGGGACAGGGACATCCCCTAATCTAGAGTTAACAGCAATGCCCAAAGCACAGGACTTAAAATAATACATTATTTTTCAAATAGGAGAGAAGAGGGGGGAAATTTGCATTTTTATTAGAAGGTACAAAATAATCTTTCACAAAACTTTAACAGGATTACTCTCCAAATATTTGAGCCAATTCAACACTGATTTGTAGAACAGTGTTTTAAGACTTGTACAATGGATGTTGAATTTAAGTCAGCCATGTCATGGCCCAGTTTGGAATACACCTTGGCACATAAAATGTTCAATAAGATGAACTGAAGATTTCGATATATCATGGCTGATCAAGATGAAACATATAAAGTTTATTACATCTTGAGGTTTGCACATGTGCATGTATGTGTAGTAATTTTAAAAGCTTTGTAGCTAAAGTATAAAAACCAGCGTTTAGCAATGCCAGGTTATTGACTTGAAAATAGGAAAAGGCAGTGCTAGGCGCACTACATTTTATTTGTTTAATCAATTAATTAAGTACCTCAATTGCTAAATTCTAGGTGCTAAACAATAATACAATAAAATAGATTAAAAAGAAATCAAATAGGAAAAAGAAACAAACAACAGGAAAGAAAAAGAATAAGTAATCCATATGGTAGGAAAAAATACAATTATGCAGTATACAAACAGTATCACAGAGTCACCAGACACCCTGCCCCAGAGCCTGCAGAAGAAGCCAGGACTTCAAGGGCAAAAGCGTTCAAGGGCTAAAGGGCAAATGGGTTGGTGCTATGTGAACTTCAGAGAGAATGCTGGTAGAGAGGGCAGTGGTGGCTGTTGAGAAGACAGGGTCTCATAATATGGAACTGCTTCACTGATGGAACCCTGAGAATGCTGACTCTGCTTGAATGGGAAGAAGCAAGGCAGTCCCATAAGTATACATGCCCTAAGCCATGAAGGGCTTTATAGGTGACAGCTAACCCCTTAAGTTGCACCCAGAAGCCAACTGGTAATGAGTGCAACTTACAGAGCAGAGAGGTCACGTGAGCAAAACAGGATGTGCCCATAACCACTTGCACTATTGCATTCTGGACCAGCTGTAGCTTCCAAGTAGTCTTCAAGGGCAGCAGCATGTAGAGCATATTGCAGTAGTCCAAATGAGAGTGACTAAGTCATGAGTGACTGTGAGAACAACTTCTTGATCCAGAAAAGGTGATAATTAGCACACTAGATGTATCTATATGAAGGCCTTCTTGATTATGGCTGCCACTTATTCATTGAGCAAGAGCCAGAGGTCCAGGAAGATCCTCACATTATGCACAAGTTTCACCTGGGATAGCACAAACCCATCAAAAACTAACATTGGAAAATCCCTGGAAACAGAAAGTCCTTAACTTACGTACTGAACGTACTGAACAAAAAGGTGGAATATAAAGAGAACTGATAAATAAGTTCCAAGTCCATTGACTTGGAATTATAATGTAAAGAATAACAGTGCTCACTTTCTTACTGATCCTTCCTTCAAACCCCCTTCTAAAACGGAAAGGTTTGGTTGACAGAGTAGAAGCAACAACACTGGTTTCTGAGATTGGCTGCACGTGCTTGTCGTAAATTTAGCATAAACTCCTGCATAAGGAGGTAAGCAAGCACCATCATGTCTCTTTGCTTTTGCTCATCAGGAAGATCCTTTTGGCCAGAGGGAGCCAGAGATTCTCTGTCTTATTGTTATTGTTAGGACTGTGACAATCACACTTACCAAGTTCAAAGAAGGATTATAAGACTTGATTGTGCTCAATGCACTGGTGAATTGAACAAGTTGACACAAGTAATACAAACATATTTCTTTAAAAGTGATTAAAAATAATAAAGGAATTCCATGTTAGCACAAAGAAGAGCAATACAAATTGTAACTTGATTAACCTAATGATCTATATAAATAATCTCCAGTCTACTACAAATGTCATAGTCTGCCCAGTATTTTGAATTGGCTAAGCTAGGAAGCTGTAGTTAGTGTCATTTCAAACTAATTGTCTTCATATTCCTAATAACCAATTAATAGGCAATATATCAATTGAAAGACAATGTATCAGCCAAGATAAATTTACCTGAAAGAGGATGGCTAAAATTTAATGTATGTTCCTAAACTATACTCTAATAAGCATGCTTGGAAAAACGTTGTATATTTCATAATTTAATGAAAGGTTCACATTCATGGTGAAATTATACATAATATTAAATATATGGCTGCATTTATTGTTTCTAATATATTTTTTCTAAATAATATATCTAGGGCAACAGAATAATCCCTATGAGCATGCAGAGGCAGGTGTTACCTTTTCCCCATTGTTGTGATTCCAATAAAAATAATTTCCCTAAAGCCATTGCTAGTCCTAGAAATGAATTCCCAAAGCAAATAGCTCTGAATAAGAGCAGAAGGTAATTTGCACCAGAATCTGCATGCCTTTGTGTTCCCACCCCATATATAATTTAAAACTTTGATTAATACTCTGTACGCTGTTTACCAAACATAATTGAGATCATATTTCTTTCCGACACACATCCTTCCAGTGTTACAGTGCTCACTAATATACACATTACAGTACAGAGGAGCCTCAACCTTGCTATAATTGGCTGTGGCTATTCCATTGAATTAGATAGCTTTTGTGTAGTAGAGAAGAGACACCAGAACTTGAAAATAGAAGAGGCTTTCAGTAGAGAAAAGAAGACTTGCCGGTCTTATTAAACTTTGTGCAATTTATGGCTTCAACAACTCTGAATAATTTGCATGTCAAAACCCATCTAAAACCCAGCTAATTGGTCCCTTAAAGGATCTTTCCCTTGAAAACAACAGACCTTGATCTGTTAAATAGCGGCTCAAGCCAGGGCTGATATTTTACCACTAGTTTCAGAACTGCTTTGATGGCCGCCTCTTTTCAGCTCCAGCTGGATATATGTTCACCAAATAAAAACCATCAATGTTATTTGGCATCGGTGTGGTTGCTAACCACTGACTGCAAAAGACGGGCAAGGATTGCAAGGATTTAGTTCTTACTCCAGAAGTGGTCATGAAATATAGTTTTTTTAAAAATCCTGTCCTTTATCATTTACCTAAATGGGACTGCTTTGATTCTAAAAAAAAATTACGTGACCTGTACATTTTTATCCTAATCCCATTCACTAAGTTTGGATATTATTTGATTTTATTGAAAATCTCAGTCTTAACAACCAAAGGGTAGTCCATCTAAATGACCTGCAGCCTACTAATTCCAGACAGAGAAATCCAAAATTTCAAGATGCATAAAAAGGAGATACTTTGCCTGCATTTCCAGGACAGTGTGGAAGTATCCCAATGTATTTGCAGTCCTGTCATGTCCTTGTAAGTTCCAGCTGAATCAACAGTGCATGTCTACATGTGTCCAAATTTAAGATTTCATCCCCTTGTTCTGAAATAACTATTTACACCTCTTCCAACAAGCTATTCCTCAAACAATTTCCCCCAATTTTTGGTTTTGTAATTCTGTGTGCATTTATCTACGTGGATCAGGAGAAGGGGAGGGGCGTCATTGCCACATCACTGAAAGTATTTTTTCCCCTTTATTAACTAAAGTAAATTATTGGCACACATTGCATTAATGCTTACATTGATCTTTACAAAGTTCTAAAACAAAAATAATAGAGGATCTACCAGTATTTTTTCTCCAGCAGTAAATGGCAATACATGTATCTCAATAATGAAATATGAATGTTATTTCATTTTTAAATTAATTAGAATAATATTTTAAGTATATTTATTTTATTTCAGGAAAATGTCTAGAATCTTAATCTGGATCTTATGGTTTTGGTATTTTATTTTCTACCACTTTTTTATTTTAATTTTATATTTTCTTACTTACTATAAGCTGCTTATGAATACTAATTAGTACTGAAAAACAGAATGTTAATCCCAAAGGTGTAGTGATTCTGTTCTTACATTAGCTGATTGTAAGTCCGACAAGCTGTATTTGCTCCAGAGAATATATCAATTCCTCTAAAATTGACTTTGCATCCTTTCTGCAGTTTCCTTGGACCCCACTCCTTAATTCAGCATTTTCACATCTAGGTTTGCGGGGGGGGGGGCTCATTTCAATCTGTAGGCTACGTTGTGGCTGTTGTTGCTTTTAGTAATTATGTTTAGTTCTTGTGAACTGGTTTACCCTAACTCAGTTCCTCCATTTGATCCACAGCAAAAATTTATGACTTGTCTTTCCATGGTATTGGGTGGGACCACATAATTGGCTTGACCGTACATTCTTATACCATCCCAGGCTGCATAGTGCCAGCCACAAATTATTGGGAATTATGCAAATGATCCACTTCTTCCTCGCCAACACTGGCCTTCAGTAGAAGTGATTTCTATATTTAGAGGGCTTCCTGAGTTAGTATTATTCTTACACCAACAGATTTATATCTGTGCAGGCAAGTACTATGCAGTAATCCCTTTAAATAAATCATTTTTGTTTATGTGTGCATGTGCATATTTCTCTCTTTTCAGATTGCTTTTCCTATTCAGCTTTAGAAGTATTGTCGAAGAAGTGTTATGGGAAACAAAGGTGTAGAATTATTGCTAATAGTCATAACTTTGGAAGACCATGTATGCCTGGGGTGAAAAAATATCTCAACGTCAGCTATGCATGTGGTAAGAAAAGTCATGGAAATTATAAACTTTATAAAGTTCATTTGTTATAGATTTTATAATGCCACACTGTCAATCAGATTATATATAAAGAAACATTTTAAAACTTCTATACATTAAACATTATAGGCATCTTCTATATATAATTCATATTATTCCCATATTTTGTTATGGACTGTCAGCTAAAGAATTTCAGCTGGTGGGGTCTAGGAGGAGAGCCTTTTCTACTGTTGGTCTTGCCCCATGGAACATCTTGCTCCCTGAGGTGAGATTGGCCCCCACTCTTCTGGCCTTCCAGAAGAGTGTCAAGTCCTGGCTTTGCCAGCGAGCATGGAAATCCAATGGGGGCTCGCAGCACTGGGCGTGGCTGGTGACTTGAGGATGCTCCCTCTGTCTTTTAACTTTGTTTTTGTAAGGTTTTTTTTTACTGGTTTTATGATTTTTATTTGTGAGCTGCCTAGAGTTACTTATATAGTGAGATGGGGCGGTGTATCAATTTTATTTATAAATAAATAAATAAATAAATTTTAACATCTAAGGTACAATAATAATAGATATGCAAAATTATGTTTACTATTAATATAATTTGACTTAAAAACACATTGGCAAAAATCTTATTATATTTCTTGGATGGAGCCAGTTGGGAAGATTCTTCTTGAATGATCATCAGCCTTGAACTTGGTCAGGTAATAATTGAAAGGTCTTGTCGAGTTTGCCCTATTGATTATTGATCTTGCTAATGTACAAGATGTGGCACTTTGGCAGCAACTGTGCTAATGATGGGACAGGGATTGGAGTCTTTCTGTGCAGGTCCTATGGGCTATTTTTGGCAGGTCATGAAGACAACATCATTAACAAGGCAGAGTAGAGATTAAATTTATGCTGGCATATTGTGCCATCTCGTGGACTGGAAAAAAGCAGATTATGTGTGCCCTTAGCTTATGCCTCCCTGTCTGAGCCATTAATGTAAATCCTTTTAGTGGATCTTAGTTTTTGCTAAAATTGTCATCATCATCATCATCCTGGAAACTATCCCTGTACTTCTACTTTAAAAAAGGATCCTGGAAACTAAGCACTGATTTATATAATCAAATCAGAATTAAATTAAATGTCATTTCCATTGGAACTGTAGTTTATAAATTTATAGGCCATTTTTCCAGATTGGATTATCACAATTAATATTTTATAGAATACACAACCAAATCCCCTAAAACAATAATTTAGTATATAAATAATAGTACCTAAATATACAACAATATTCAGTTCAAAATTATTAAAATAACAGACTAAGAAATAATCAGTAAAATAAAAGAAGTACTTATAAAAATCTATTCAACAAGCTCAGTCTACTAAATTATCCAATTATTGATTGGAATAAATAAGCTATTAAAATTCTTTGCAAGTCCAGCTAAGAAAAGACCATTCAAATATAGCAATGTATATCTTCCAGAATAGATATCCATGATCTTTCCTCTGAAAACAGTGCATTTTCAAACTCAAACTTTTGTGTGGTATCAAAAACCTGGAGTCTGAGAAAACGTACAGTGGTGCTTAAAAGTTTGTGGACCCTTTTGAATTTTCAATATTTCTGCATAAATATGACTTGAAACATGATCTGTTCTTCACACAAGTCTTAAAACTAGATAAAGAGAACCCAGTTAAACAAATGAGTCAAAAACATTATACTTATTCATTTATTTATTGAGGAAAATGATTCAACGCTACATATTTGTGTGTGAAAAGTATGTGAATCTCTAGGATTATCAGTTCATTTGAAGGGGAAATTAGAGTCAGATGTTTCAATCAATGGGATGATAATCAGGTGTGAGTGTGGGAGGTTCTGCCTTATTTAAAGAACAGAATTCTGGCCATTGACAATCAAAGTCTAATCTTCACAACACATGTATATGGAAGTGTATTATGGCTTGAACAAAGGAGTTTTCTGAAAAACAGTTGTTGATGCTCACTAGGCTGGAAAAGGTTACAAAGCTATTTCCAAAGAGTTTGAACTTTGCCAGTCCACTGTCAGACAGATCATGTACATATAGAAGCAATTCAGCACCACTGTTACCCTCACATCAAGAGCAAGATATGTAATATTCCAGGAGATCTCAAAGAAGCCCAGGGTAACATCTAAAGAACTAATGGCCTTTCTTGCAATGGCAAATGTCAGTGTTCATGAGACCACCATCAGGAGAACACTGAACAATAATGGTGTACATGGCAGGGTTGCAAGGAGGAAGCTACTACTCTCCAAAAAGAACATTGTTGCCCATTCACAGTTTGTGAAAGACCATGTGGATAAGCCAGAAAGCTATTGTAATAATGTTCTGTAGACAGATGAGACCAAAATAGAACTTCTTGGCTTGAATGAAAAGTGTTATGTTTGGCAAAAGGCAAACACTGCATTCCAGCATAAAAACCTTATCCCATCTGTGAAACATGGTGGTGGCAGTATCATGGTTTGGGTTTGCTTTGCTGCCTCTGGACCAGAATGGCTTTGCATCATTGATTGAACTATGAATTCTGAATTGTACCAGCAAAGTCTACAGGAAAGTGTCAGGATATCTGTCCATGAACTGACGCTCAAGAGAAAATGCAGCAAGACAACGACCCAAAACACACGAGTCGTAAAATCAAAGAATGGTTAAAGCAGGAAAAAATTAATGTTCTGAAATGGCCAAGTCAAAGTCCTGACCTTAATCCTATAGAAATATTGTAGAAGGACCTGAAGTGGGCAATTCGTGTGAAGAAGCCCACCAACATCCCTGACATGAAGCTGTTCCATAAAGAGGAAACTGGGAATTTTTTGGTAGAAATAATAAAGTTTTGGTGTACAAGTGGTACTTGTAGACAAATTCCTCCAATCCTAACTCTTTTAAAAACCAAGTTAGTTCCTTATTTTTCGTATGCAGTAGAGTTATGGGGAATTTCTACCCCTTATGATATGGAATTCTTTCAAAACAAGCTCCTCTGAAAAGTTTTAGGTGTACCCGATGGTACTCCTATCACCTTTCTCTATACAGAAACTGGTACATACCCAATTAAAGCTAGAATAATTGTAAGGGCATTTAATTATTGGGCTACACTCCTCAAACTGCCTGATCCCCAACGTGCTAAGCAGTGCCTCCTGGAGCAAATGAATTTCTCCACTCCTTCTCTCACCAATTGGTTTATTTATTTTATTTTTATTTATTTATCAAATTTGTCTCTGCCCATCTCGTTGAAATGACTCTGGGTGGTTTATAGTAAAGATAAAATTCATTAAAATACAATATAAAACAGACCTAATAATAAATAGCTTCCAAGCAAGATGGAAAGTTGGTGAATAATTCAAGGGAGTGTCATCAGGGCATTAACCACCTCCAAGGACAGTTAGAGCCTGTATCGCCCCATGCACACTGGCAGAGCCAGGTCTTCAAACCTTTTCGGAAAGCCAGAAGGATTGGGGCCTGCCGTACCTCTGGGGGGAAAGTATTCCAGAGGGCGGGGGCAACAGCAATTGCCAAATGCCCAAATCACAATCACATGACTGTAGGGACACTGTGATGGCCACAACTTTGCAGACCAGTTGTAAATCCCGCTCATTCAGCATCGTCATAACTTTAAATGGTCACTGAATGAGAAATGGTAACCCAAGGACTACCTGTATGTTAAGAGTATGTAGAAACCACCTCCCAATGTGATTTAGGAACCCAATCAGGGCTACAGCTATGGCCCGGTCTGCTATGTTCTGGAGGTAGCCTAATTTGATGCTATTTTATTTATGAGTTCTGCAATAAAGTATTCTCCAAGTGACATACAACAAAGCAAATGACTAAAACATAGTAAAGCGTTACAATGAGATAACAATTAAAATATGTTATGAAAAATCCGTAAACTCATTAAGCAATATAATTACACCAGCAGTCGCACATTCCAGCAGACCTAAACACTCTAATTTTATTAATGAATTAAAATACCGCCTACATTAAAAGAATCAGTTTTCCATGGTGGTTGGCCAAGCATGTAACAGAGGCAAGACACTGTGAAGATGCATTATACAGGTATCCTCACTTAATGTCCTTTCGTTCAGTGACTATTTGAAATTACGATGGTGCTGAACGGTCTTAAAACCAGTCCTCAAAGTTCCAGCCATTGCAGTGCCCCTGCGGTCATGTGAACAAAATTCAGGCCTACTTGGGCCCACCCACATTTACAACTGCCTCTTGGCCATCTGCCTACCTGCTGCTGCCAGCTGGCCCTACCACCCAGCCCTGCCCTTTTGGCCGCCCGCTGCATCACACACCACTAGTGTACTGGCAGGGGCCTTTTTCACACCACTGTCACTGGGGCTTCTGTCGTACCCCAGCTTTGGCCTCCATTTGCGCCCCAGCCAGGGCCTTCTTTCATGAACGAAGGACCCAGCTAGAAGGGTCCTTCTTTCCCACTAGCACAGCTGGGGCCTTCTTTCACACACCTGCCTTTTTTGAGGCTAATGCCTGCCTTTTTCAAGGCTGACATGCAAACCGAGGCTGGCGTGCAAACTGGCACGCAAATGGAGGCGAAAGAAGGCAGTGCGAAGAAGGCCTTGGCCAGTACAGTAGTGGCACATGGTGTAGCAATGAGCAGAGCTGGGCAGTGGGGGCAGCTGGCGGCAGCAGGTAGGCGGGCAGCCAAAAGGGCAGAGATGGGGGAAGATAGGTGGGGGGAGTTCAAATGGAGGCAGTCCCTCACCTTATCGAGGCTTGGAGCTGGGAACTGGAAATGGCTTGGATCCTTAGCTAATGGCCAGTGTGATTCGGTTAATGATGGCAACGGGGACTGCCAGGATTGCTTTGCTAGGTGACGTGGTCACATGACGTTGCACTTTATGACCACATTGCTTAGCAAAGGAAATTCTGGTCCCAATTGCCTTTGTAACTTGAGGACTACCTGTAATGCATTTTTTATGAATTCCTTAGTTTTGCCTCAGGGCTGATCTGTATGACCAGCATCTCCAGTACAAGTATGGCCACTAACCATTTCTCAAGGGCAGGAATACACAATGTCATCCTCCACCTGCAAGCTAAACATTTCTTCTCCTACACTCTTACTGTAAACAACCTCTGTCTCAAATTGACTATTGTGTACTGTGGCAGGAATGCCATCCTCCCCTCTGGTCACTGGATACTTTTTCTTACAGGTTCATCAGTGGAATAGTGAAAAGCTGTTTTTGTTTTCACAAGTTCATGGAAAGGACTGTGAAATGGTGGATCTTTCTTTTTAACCAAGTGAAATTGACAAGAGTTGTATCTCCTTACCTTCTAGCCCAAGTGAGAAGAAAAATGTAATACTGTGTTTTTGTTTCTTTTACTGTCCACTGGTGGACTCATCAGATGAAAAAGTATCCAGTAAGATGGGGAGTCAAAAGAAGAGGGCTCAAATGAGAGGCCTATCAATGGAAACCACGTTCCTCAAAGACCCATCCACAAAGGAAAACAACTGGTGCTTGTTTTCCCAGTATGAGTGACAGTGGGGATAAAGAAGCAAGGGAATCCACCAGCCAGGAGGCATGATAGACAGTCTGGATGGAACATCAGGCCGTTGTGATGGCTGAAACAAAGGAAGGGATTGAACTCCAGAAAGCAATTTCATAAGATGACATTTCTAGCTAGTTTATGCCTGGGAGTCAAGCTTAGATCTGCAATGCATAAAAACCCTCAGTTCAGCAAGGGAGATATTTGTATAGAAGTTGACTTCTCTGTATAAATATTCTTGATTGACTGACCTCTAAAACATGAAGTATGCAGGGAAGAAAACTACTAGCAAATTTCCAGTGTTGTCTATATGGCAAGCAGGATGTATGTTTTAAAATCAACACATAGCATTTTTAATTTTCAATTTTACAGTTCCCAGATTCATATTGGCAGCAGTTGATCCAATGGTTGCCATGCTCACTCCCTCTTGGAAGCCAAAAGAAGATGAATATGGTAATTTTAATTATTTGCTATGACATTTACCTTTAAGCATCTGAGTGCTTTAATGATGTAGGAGTGGGCTCTCTTCATGAAACTTTGGATGGGTCACAGTTCATTTTGAATACTATAGCAAAGGCAACACTCCTAAGAGATGGGGCCAATACAAAGAAGTCGACAGAGCTAGGGTAAAAGTTGAATCTAAATTAACTAAAGACTAAATTGACTAAATTGATTTTGTTGTTTGTCACTTGGAGAATACTTTACTGCAGAATTCGTAAATAAAATAAAATGATAAAGTCATCCTTTTATTATTAGCAGTTGACTAAAGATGTAATTCTATTTTTCATATCTAGCTGGTGGGACTCATAGAACATGTTTTGTGTGCAGAACATTCTCTTATATTTGTGAGTTGCTGTTAATATAATAAAACTGAAATAGAAATTTAGAATTAATATTGTTTTGATACTGCATAAACTATGTGTTATTAGATAACAGAAACATGGAGATGTTAAAGAAAGTAATTACTTCTGGGTAGGATATTAAAAATTATTCATTTAACATGCACACATTCCTTTTCAATTTTGCAGGTTACTTCAACTACAATCTAATTTAGGAAACCTTTTTTTTCTTTTACACAGATATAAATTTTGATCCAAAAGAATCAAGAATTCCAAAGAAGGAAGGAATTATAGTTAGCAGCAGTTTGGCTACATTTGCATACATTAGAGGTAGAGCACTTGTACTCTGTTTTCTTATATTCTGATAAGAAATCCTGTTACTGCTAGCAATTACATTTTTCGAGGACTAATACAAAATATTATATATACATACTAGTTGCAGCCTTTAAAGCTACATGAATTTATTATGGCATATCCTTTTGTGAACAATATCCTAGTTGATAAGGTGCATGAAGTATTATTTTGATTTACATAACTGCAACAGCTTTTTATATATGTCTACTGTTAATGAGCTAATTATTATTGTTGTATTCTTTTTTACTGAATTTTCCTCAGACTTCATTATTTTCAATCTTCTCATCTTTCAGAAAGGGAGGGAGGGATAGACAAGAGAGAGAGAGCAGGAGCAATATTTGCTGTTTGTTTGAAAAATTTATATGGCTACCCATCTTAAATACAAAACTCTGGGTGGCTAGCAATTTTATTTACATATATAAAAGAACCCCTAACCAAAGAAAGTTAAAATAATCCAATACAAAGAAAAATCAAGTCACCATATACCTGTAACATATTTACAAAACAGACACGTGTATATCAGATTCCTGTCACATCCTGGTCCTATTGCCTGGAAAAACAGCCAGCCTTCTGGAAAGCCAAAAATATTATGTAAATATTCCCAGTGTTTGGCTGAAAAAAGATTTCAGGAAGAAGGTAAAATATGTAATATTTGTAAATATGGCATTTGATCCCATAGTGCTGATGGTTTAGAAATAGGTGATTTGAAACAAGTATGTACAGTTTGCTGAAGTTTTCAGCCCCTAAACTTCCCTTTTCCTACTTCCTTAAAAAAGCCTGTTTCTCAGTGAGTCAGCAGCTGGCAGAAGCATGATACTGTCTAGGCCAGAGGAGAAATCCTTGAAGAGATAGTTTGTTTTTTCTGTTACTGGTGGCTACTGGCTGAGCTCAGTAGTAGCATCTAATTGAACTTGGCTGATCTTGAAAAATGGGGAAAAAATGGATCTGTTTAGAACATGGATGGAAGTCCAACAGGAAATACCAGAGTTATAGGCTAGATAACTGGAAAACACCCCAGTAGAGGCTAATGGTAAACTACTTTCATATTGTTGCAAGAAACTATATAGATCCATTTCTGAAGTCACCTAAAATCAAATCTGACTTGAAGTGTTTGCTTAGCTTTGGCATTGTACTTTTTGTTCATTCCCATATTGCTAGCCAGAAACAAGTTAGTTTGATGGACTGTGTAGACTTAAATTTTAAAAGATTGGCTCAGAAGTCTAGGCTTTTCAGAAATGACAGTAAATTGTTATTACTCCCATCCATCTTTACATAAGGCTCTAGTCTGGGATTTTGTTTCTAATTTCAGATCACCTTGAAAGAGCTGCTCTCTTGTTTGTGTCTAGTGTTTGTGTTGGCCTAATGTTCACACTTTGTGCTCTGGTGATGCACGTTTCTTGCTCTCATGATGTGGTAAAGCTGCGGAGGATAAAAAGGCACCTGGTGCTAGAGAATCAGAAAGCTAATGAAAACAATGAGGAGGAGGAGGAAGAGGAGGATGAAGAGAGAGGGGAATCTTCTGATTCAGATTTTCCTGATGAACTAACAGGGTTATGCAGGACTTCATATTCAGCTTATTGTTCCCTGGATGCAGCCGAATTGGCTGAAAGGATAGAGCGTCGAGAACAGATCATCCAAGAAATCTGGATGAACAGTGGCTTGGAAGCATCCCCTACTAGAAGCCTCAACCCATTTTATATCAATGAACAGCAGTGCGTTTGTTTTGGATAACATGCACTTCTTTTTTTTAACTACCTTCTGTGAAGGATCATTTGCAATGTAATTAATAATTATTTACAAAGCTATATAAATAATTATTTAAAATACTTCAAAACAGTTTTTAGTATGGTATGTTTTGGATACTTGCCTCTAGTTTATTCTACGTTATTTTCTCTCTGAACTATTTGTAACCCTTTGGAAATGAAAGCCTATATTATAAAACCAGCGCTACCTACAGTCGTGTAAAAAAAAGAAGTACATCCTCTTTGAGTTCTATGGTTTTACATATCAGGACATAATAAAAATCATCTGGTCCTTAGCAATTCTCAAAAGTAGAGCTTGTAGAACCACCTTTAGCAGCAATAACTTGAAGTAATCGTTTTCTGTATGACTTTAGCTTGTAGAACCACCTTTAGCAGCAATAACTTGAAGTAATCGTTTTCTGTATGACTTTAGCTTGTAGAACCACCTTTAGCAGCAATAACTTGAAGTAATCGTTTTCTGTATGACTTTATCAGTCTCTCACACCGTTGTGGAGGAATTTTGGCCCACTCTTCTTTACAACATTGCTTCAATTCATTGAGGTTTAGGGGCATTTGTTTATGCACAGCTCTCTTGCAGTCCTGCCAGAGCATTTCAATTGGGTTGAGGTCTGCACTTTGACTGGGCCATTGCAACACCTTGATTCTTTTCTTTTTTAGCCATTCTGTTGTAGATTTGCTGGTGTGCTTGGGATGCTTGCATGACCCAATGTCGGCCAAGCTTTAGCTGTCGGACAGATGGCCTCACATTTGACTCTAGAATACTTTGGTA